TATTTCATTGTTAAAAGTTGCAACCGCGAAAATCTTGAATTGTCTGTGCAACAAGGGGTATGGGCAACTCAAAGGAGCAACGAAGCTAAACTAAATGAAGCTTTTGATTCGGCTGAGAATGTGATTTTAATATTTTCGGTCAACAGAACTCGACATTTCCAGGTAGTTTGTTAATCTATTATTATTTTGCTAAGTATTCGTACCTATGAAGCTTATTTTGCATTTCTAAATAGGCAGACCAAATCTTATAGCTTGGTTTTGACAGGGTTGTGCTAAGATGACATCCAAAATTGGTGGATCTGTTGGTGGTGGGAATTGGAAATATGCACATGGGACTGCTCACTATGGGCGGAATTTCTCAGTTAAATGGTTGAAGGTACAGGAAGAAAAATGTGCCTTCCTTTCTTTCTGTTTATTCTGCTTCATAAGACATAGTAGCGTGAACGCTTAAAAATTCTCGGCCTGTATTTTTTAAGATGATAATTGAAATTAGTGGTTAATCAAATTAAGAAATTTGATGTGTTTAAGATGGCACGTCCATCATTTTCTTTTTTCTGTCAAAAAGAATGGGAAAAACATAGCAAATTCATTCGCTTGCACATGGCCATTAAAACAGTCCTTTTTGGTATTTTCTTTTGGTTAGTTGCATTGAGAATTCAATTTCCTTATATTTCGTTTCTGAGTCTTGAGTTGTACTAAACTTACTATGAAGTTTTGAAAAGTTTGGTTCTTAGAGCTCAGCAGACGTGATTGATGGTTTAACATTTATATATAAGCATTTGGAAGAATTTGATATCTTATTATTAACTTAATAATACACAAAAGTTTCATATATATACAACAAAGCTACCTATGGAAAAAGAAACCTAATTATTTTAGGATCCCATGATTTATGGGATATTCTATCATAATGGAATATATTTAAATCAGCCAATTTTAGGGATACAATCTGTTACATAAAGAAACAGTACGAACATACAAAATTAATCACTTTTTTCACATTTCCTCAAGTTGGTGGATGAGTGTTCTCCATTCCCAGTTTGGAGACAACTCTGAAACATTGGACTACTCAACCCTTTGGTAAGTACATCAGCAAGTTGGCTACATATGCACACATAAGGTGTACACATCAACCTGCTTTCCAACTTTTCTTCGTTCAATCATGTTGTACTGAATTATGAGATATACTGATGACAGACTTATTATCACAAGAGTCTCACTGGACTACCCCATTTAATCAAGTCTTCTAAGATGAACTTTGCCCAAAACAGTTCACACACACCTTGGGCCATCGACCAGAATTCTGCTTCCTCATTTGATTGTGCTACCACACTGTTTTTCACTCCTCCATGTCGCTAGTTTACCGCCAAAGAAAGTGCAGCATCCGGAGGTTGGCCTCTTATCAATGATTGATCCAGCATGATCAACATTTGTATATGCTTCAAGAACTAATCATCCATTCCTTTTGAGAGAATACTTTTTCCCAGTGTATCCTTAATATACCACAACACTCAGTTAACTGCTTGTGAATAAGCTTCCTTAGGATATGCATAAATTGACTGATCGAAGTTACTGTATATGCTATATCTGGTTGTGTGTGAGGTAGATAATATGAATCTTCTTATCATGGATTTACACATTTCTCTATCTATTGTTGCATCAGCTTATGCCTTTCCCAGTCTAAGATGTGTGTCTATTGGAGTACTTGCTGGTTTTTACGCTGTCTTGCCTGTTTCTTTAAGGAGGTCAATTACGTTCTTTTGCTGAGAGAGAAAAATGCCTTGTCTAGATTGATCTACCTCAGTCCCAAGGAAATATACGACTGACTCAATGTCTTAATCTCAAACTCCTTAGCCAAGCACTGAGTTAGACATTATCTCTCCTTATCATCATCCTTTTTTACTATTGTGTCATCAACATATACAAGAAGAGGTGTGACTCTCGCTAAAGGTGAGTATTTAATGAATAACATATGATCTTCTTGGCTTTGTTTATATCCTACGACCATTATAACTCTC